GGGTGGGAGGTGGGGGTGGGGGGAGCTATGGGGTGTTCGCGGTGATATCAATGACAAAGCGCATTCATAAAGTAGAGTCTACATGCATGTAGCAACTCACCCGAATCTGGAAGCAGCACCGTATCGATGCCGTGCATGACACCGTTGGAGGCGGTGATGTCTGGGTGGATGACCCTGGCCTCGTTCACCCTCAGCCCGTCCCTCTTACACCGGAACAGCAGGCGCGAGTCGTCCATCGTCTTCAGACCCACCGCGACCACGATGGCATCGGCGCAGTACACGCCTCTCACAATATGGCGCTTCATCACCTCTGCAGGAGAAAGAAATTAAAATACTGATTGGGAAAATGGAACGGTATAGGTTCAACGACCCAATCAAAACTATTAGGTTATTTGATTAAGACCTCCAGGCGTTGCGAATGTCATATTGATGAGTTCTAGAGTTGCTACAATACGATAACGACGTTAATTGTCGTTAATGCTTACATGGTTACGTTTACCGTTTTGATGTAAGAAATCCTGTTCAATTCAAGCATCGACCTGCGCTTAACACATATTGTTGCCATGAGGTCAATACGGCCGGAGAGACCCACATCCCCTCCCCCCTGTTTGCTTTGCCAGTTCTGATTGTTAGAATTGTTTTAACACCGCTTTCAACACTGTTAAGTTATTTTAGAGGTGGGACCTCCGAATCTAATGACCATCTCCGATAGAACTGAGCCAAATGGGTGGAAAGCCTTGAAAACTACCAAAAACATGCCAAGTTCAGAATATCCCGTTGGGGATTCGAATCACGACCATCAGCTCCGTAGTCCAGCATGATACCAACTCAGTTAACAAAGTATTCCAGCCAGCTTTGACAAAAAGAGAAAGTCATAAATCCTTATCTACCAAACAAAAAAATCTCTTAATTTATTATCTATTTGTGGTGGCCGAATTTTGCTATTCAAAAGGTTTTTTAAAGGCCGCATCGATGGACATGCGGTTTTTGCCAAAAGATTCTTTTCTAGATCACGACGCTCTTGGTTTTTTTTTCAGTTTTGAGACAGTTCAGTTTTGCTGCAAAAAGCTAAATTTCTTTATTTCGCCGATCGCTTTTGTTGGCCGACGCTTCTGTCTCTGTAATTTTAGGAAAGGAGGTTTCCGTTCCCTAAACGTGCACACTGTTTTGAGAGTATAGATCTAAACCATAGATGTACACTATAGGTTTAAAAGGGGGTAACTCTATGATCTAAACCTTCTAATTTGGGCATCTCTCAAGATTTATTGCTCCATTCCAGTAGAATGTAAATATCATAGACATAAACCAATGACTTTCGGCTGACGTTAATGCACCGATCATTCCTTTCATCGAAAGGGGCCCCAGATAGTTCATGTCTGGTTAGTTGTTCTTTTTTTGCACTAACTTTCCGCCGTGTCTGCATCCGTGAGTATCTGGTCCAGGAGGTCGCTGGGAAGGCGGGCAAAAGCCTCGTTGGTGGGTGCTAGAACCGTGAAGGAGCCGCGCTCTGAGTTGAGTCTACGCGCCAGGTCAGCCACCAGCATGGCCAGGTGGAACTGGGAGAAACGGTCGTCTTTCTCCACGCGTTCTGCCAACGTGCTGTCCACATCGTGAGGGCTTAGCACCTGAGAATAAAATTTAAATAAAAATGTATTTAACTTTAATTTAAAGAATAAAAGGGGGAAAAGAAAAAACAATAACATGACAATGTATTAAAGGAAAAAAATGGGGAAAAGGAAAAAATAACAATATGTATTATATGAGAAAAGGGGTGGGGGGAGGGGGGTTGGGGGGAGGGGGGGAGGAAAACAGATATGTATTTTTTTTAAAATGTATTAAAAGAAAGCAGAAAACTATTTTTACCAATTGTTTGCCGGCTCGATTGCTTGTTGGAGTAATATAAACAAAGAAGCACGTCGACACAATAATGGTTATCTAGTGCTGGGGAAAAGTAAGACAGACAGACAGACAGAAGCAACAGTGGGGAAAGTAAAGAAGTTGGAACTACCGGTACCAGTGGCACCCTCCGACCACCCACCTTTTACAAAGAGAACAAGAAACCAAAGCTACAGTAACGGGATACATCAAAACAAAGATGGAGCATGTCGTTTCATCTTCAGCCAAGGTTAGGCATTAGTTACCTGACTAGCTGTAAATTAGTTAGTTTTTTTTCTCCCTTGTTCGCACGTTAACACGAACAACAATAATGTCAAGCTGAACTCCAAACACCTACGTCAATCACAAGTTGTAGCGAACAGACAAACAGGCAAGGCTATTCACATATTTAGACTTTGGCAGAGATTTAAAAAAAAACCAACCTCCCTTGAATGAAGGCAATAGTTTGTTTTGCAGTACAGCTGTTACAATCTAGTGTAAGACGTGGAGCTAACTAATGTCGTGCGTGAGTGTTTGTGCGTGCGTGCGTGCGTTCGTGTGTGTGTGTGTGAGTGTGTGTGTGTGTGTGTGTGTGTGTGTGTGTGTGTGTGTGTGTGTGTGTATGTGTGTGTGTGTGCGCGCGTTCGTTCTTGCGGATGCGCGACGTAACAACACGACAAGAAGGGATGCATAATTATGAGGAGATAATCATGACCATGGTTTAGTATTATTTTACTGTAAGAGTTTTACGTCGTCATCGTCATAATTGAACCGAGCTCCTTCGACCCTGTCTGTTAGGGCGAGACTGAGCTGAATTGGGCACGATATCCCAGCAGGCAGACACATAATATACTCGATAAAGAAACTTCCTCAATGAAAGACTCGAACTCACGCCTTCTGCGTTAAAATGTTGTTGAGATTATATCTCTCATCCAAACAAAATATAATAATGCATTAGCTAACAGTAACACATGTTGTTGTGAGCGATCCAGTAGCATCTGAGCGTTAACTCTTCTGCATGATGCCATTCGGTAATAGTTGCATGTTTGTTCTAATTGTTGTCTTGAGGAGTAGAGGCAATTAGATATGTGGGGTAGCTTGGGAAGAAAACATCCCCTTAAATCAGTTAGTTTTCTACAGAAAAACAGATGATATTCCACTGTCTCTGAGGGGTAGTCACATAGTGGGCAGGCAGCAGACTGCTTTACTCCTATTCGGTTGAGATGTTGGTTGAGGGGTACATGTTGTGTTCTAAGTTGGAAGATTATGGATTGATCTCCCCTCATTGATTGGATCTTTGACCAGTGGTTTATTCATGTGGCCATACATCCTCCTTCCTGTAGTACCTGTGGCCCAAACATTCATCCACTCTTCCTTGAAGTTTGACATGATCATTTGGCAGCAGGTGGTGTAGTTCGTAGGAATTTCAGGCTGAGGGAGACTAGCCCCTTTCTTTGCCAGAGCATCAGCTCTTTCATTTCCCGGTATCCCAGTGTGGACAGGAATCCATTGTAGGACTACTCTGACGTGGTGCCTACTTATCAAGTTATGTAGACTCCAAATCAAATGCAATATATCTTTGTTCACATCAGTCCCACTCTCAAGTGTCTCTAGTGTTGAAAGGCTGTCTGTAAATATAACGATGTCTGTGGTAGCAAGTGGGTTAGTGTCAAACAAGTAGTTGATGTAGTTTGCTGTGTTGGTGATAGCCTGTTGTTCGGCAATGAAATTGGAGCAGAAGGACCCGCTGGAGTTGAAGACTTCTTTTTTTTCCCCCACTGGGCAAGTTGATCACTGACCCATATCCAGCGTTGATTGTTACCTTAAAGGCAGATCCATCAGTGTATGAGTGGATCCATGTTGGTGGATAGGAATCAATTGTTTCAAGGGCAGAATGTTTTAGTGCTACAGGATATGTGTTTTTATTGCTCTTGTCCAAAAGTGTTTTCCTAATTTCTGGCTTTGCTATGGTGAGATGTGGTGGAAGAGTTGAGGGAACTCTTTCCAGAGGTTCTCGTCTTTCAGGGAGGTGATGTTTTTCTTGGAGATTGAGAACAGTGTCAAGTACAGATTTTGTATTTTTTAGTCTTTGATTAGGTTTCCACTTGTCAACAAGGACTCTATTAGGGTGGGCATTTTCTAGCCTTTTAGATCTTTCATATATTTCTAAAGCTGCCCGTTTTCTTCGAGTTTCTAATGGCTCAATATTTGTGTGGATTTCACAGGCCGCAGTCGGTGAGGATCTCATTCCGCCAGAGATAAGACGAAGAGCTTGGTTTTGGATGGTGTCCATTGAGTTCTTTGAAGTTTTACTGTAACACATCACCTGCACAATATTATACAAGTCAGATGGCGTCAATTTGTTCGCGTTTAGCTTCAGGTAAAGAAAAGCTGACACAAGGGCAGCATTTGGACAGAATCAGATGGACGGACTATCTGGAGAAGTGATCTCTCACCCAAACACACTATAAGATTGACACTTTGGCGGCCTATAGACATAATAAAAAGCGTAGATTTATCTCCCACATTGGAGTGGAGGATTTATACAATAACACACGGGTAGGTCGACGTGACATTTGCACTTCAAGGCGCCACACACGTTATTTGACCTTTTATCAATCTTATTGGAGTCGCCATGTTGATGGTAAGCAGGCGCTGTGGTGTGGTTTGCTCCTTCTTTCCTATCAAACATCTATCGTTCTTATCCCCCCCCACCCTTTCTTTTCTATGTATGTTACTCTCTGGCAACCCATCCAATCTTCAGCACGTGGGTGATTTATTTGTGCTGCGAGTGTGAAAATACTCGCAATAAAACTAAACTAAAACTAGAGTCCCCATACATTGGTGAGAGATGGCATCTAACTGAAGCCTTTCAAATCGTGAGCCCAAGGGCTGCGCCCGGATCCATCCATCGCCATATCGCTCCCTTAGATTTAGATTACAGGATCCTTTAACTCCATGACGAATACGTTTGAAGAAAAGGCGTTCAAAGATCAATACTTTTATGTATTGCTGATATATGTTCTTACACATTCTTTGGTTAAGCGTCAAACGGAAGGGGAAAAAGTACAGGTCAAATAGAGGGTGCAAAAAGGTCATGGAGTTAAAACCTTGTCATTCTAAGGGTGCGAGCGAGATGTATCTTACACAGACTACATCTTATCTGGATGGACTCGAAAGAATGATTCGACCCATTGAGTATATTATGTATGATTGTTTGCGGCTTTGTTTTTGTTTGTTTGTTTGTTTGTTGTAAGTTCGTTTGTTGCTTGTTTGTTTGTCTGTCTGTTTGTTTGTTGGTTTGTCTGTTTGTTAGTTTCTTTATTTTGTGTGCTGCTGGGTCCAATTCCGATAATTTTTCAATGTACAACTATGTACCTTGTCGATGACGTGGACGATTCCGTTAGTGGCTTTCTCATCTGGTCTGATGATGCGCGCGCAGTTGACTGTGGCTACCTGAGGGAATATTGCAGAGGTAAAAAAGTAACGTTCCAGTTTCCAAAACATATTGAGAACAACAACAACAACAACATCATCATCATCATCATCATCATCATCATCATCATCATCATCATCATCATCATC